TGTCTGTTTGGTAAATTTGATAGAGGACAAAGAAATCCAATTAAATGATGAAAGAGGTTAAAACTTGATAGAGGAGGACAGAGAACTCCACCAGGACAGTGGCTGGTAGGTGAAAAGTACGGAGAGAGAATTTTTAGCGCCGCGGTGAATTTCTTAGTGGATTTGGCAGGGAATTGTGAGTAGGTGAAGGGAAATATATCATTTTCCTGTTTGATGGTCACATCAATGGTGGTTGGTCCTACCTTCTATTTTCTTTGCTGAATTCTAATCCTAACTGAACTAACTGCAACAGGATTTAGAATACAATACCTAATACGTCACTAAAAAGACAATAAAGTCAATATCTTGCATGTAGGATGGTGGGTAAGTATATCAGACTTTGATTTGAATATAAATTCGATTAATCGGATATAAGTTAATATTTTTGATCAGTACTTACAACCTGCATCTATCATATAACAATTTATTGGTTTGAATTTTGGATACATTAATGTCCGACCTAATTTTAATTTCTGATTTTCAATAAAAAAAAATTTTGATCAAAAAGAGGGAGAAAGAGAAATGACTAGTAGATAGTAACTTTTATTGGACGTGACTATGAGGGTATCTCCCACTGTGAAATATTTGGTTTGAGCCATAGTAACTAACTCTAAAGTGTAGTGCATCACCACAGAACCATTAAAGTGAAACAGCAAATCGCATTACTTGTATAAATCGAACTTTATTTGATTACATGAGAGTCAAGAAAGACCCTAAACAAGAACAACTTATCACTAGACCACCGACTTAAGTAATATATATTCAACAAATTTAGACACAAAACAATAAAACCTACACAGTAAAAATGTAATCAAGCCTAGGGCTATTGTTTGGTCTACCATCCCATTGATGAATTGGCTATCACTACTCTCCCCTTCTCAAATCTTTTGATAATGCAATTTCATGTTCCAAAAGTTACCCCCAATCCTTTAAACCTACTTTTGGTGATGGCTTATCAACCATAATAGTAAAGTATGTTGGCCTTGCAATAGAAATTGGACTGTTGAATAGTAGTATGAACCTTTGATTTTCAACGATCACTACAACAAATTTGTTTTAGTGGTAGTGCCATCAGGTCTTTCCTATTCACATGCCTAGTCACATGAATCCCCAGTACATGTTCTCATCAGTGGGGGACAAAGAGAGATGATAGAAAAATAAAAGATTTTGCAAGGTTTTTGGATTAGTCTTGGGTATGGACAAAACTTCTTGTTATTATATTAAAAAATAATTTGTAATTATAGTCTTCGGTTGAAGTACATTATTGATCATGAAAATAATAAAGTAAAGAGAAATAATAACATAAGAAACTTTATAAATGTCGCATTCTCATGGATGAAAAAATAAGGTATAGTATCAAAAAATAATTTTATAGTACTATAATTGAACATTAAGTTGTAACCCTAAAATTGGTTAGAGAAATTGCACTGAGAGAGAAAAGTTTGGCATGTCCACGTACCAAGGGACGTGACAACATGGAATGGATTGATTCCTACGGAGAACTAGGGGTAGTAAACAAAATGAGCTATTTAAACTAGGCTNCATGTCCACGTACCAAGGGACGTGACAACATGGAATGGATTGATTCCTACGGAGAACTAGGGGTAGTAAACAAAATGAGCTATTTAAACTAGGCTCGAAATCAATTTGTTTTAAAATTGATTCATCTGATGAATGAATCAAGTTTAAGTGCATTCTTAAGATTGTCGAGTAAGTGAGTTTAGTACGAACTCAACTTGATAAGTTAATTGGTATCCTGAGACANCTCGAAATCAATTTGTTTTAAAATTGATTCATCTGATGAATGAATCAAGTTTAAGTACATTCTTAAGATTGTCGAGTTTTTGAGTTTAGAACGAACTCAACTTGATAAGTTAATTGGTATCCTGAGATATAATACAAAATGTCCAAGCTATGATCAAGATCAGCTTGGTAAAATTGCCCATTTATAACATCAAGAATAACATTCTCTCTCTCTCTCTCTCTCTCTCTCTCTCTCTCTCTCTCTCTCTCTAAGATGGCAAGGTCGGGTCATGCATTGCCTTTACAAAGTGCATGTCGNGGTAAAATTGCCCATTTATAACATCAAGAATAACATTCTCTCTCTCTCTCTCTCTCTTTCTCTAAGATGGCAAGGTCGGGTCATGCATTGCCTTTACAAAGTGCATGTGGAAGGCTGCAAGCCCATTGTCATGCCTGTCTGATTCAACAGTCAATAATTTGCTTTCAAATTGGATCATGAATTGGATACCTCTTCAAAACTTTTGGGGTGTGTTTGGATTGGGTATTAAGATGGATTGGATTAGCCAGTTACATCCATTCCATAACCATCCAGCTAGAAAAGAAAAACAAATTTAAAACTTATCTTTTTTAATATATGTTTNCCTCTTCAAAACTTTTGGGGTGTGTTTGGATTGGGTATTAAGATGGATTGGATTAGACAGTTACATCCATTCCATAACCATCCAGCTAGAAAAGAAAAACAAATTTAAAACTTATCTTTTTTAATATATGTTTATGTTTGGTTCAGGTATTAAGAAGTAGTGAACTCCACATTTACCTCATCCAATATTTTGTTTGGATAGAGTATTTAATAATGTATAAATAATAAATTAAGAAAGAACTCGTACAATAAAAAGTAATACATTTACCTCATCCCAACTGAATTATTCAAACCTATTNGAGTATTTAATAATGTATAAATAATAAATTAAGAAAGAACTCGTACAATAAAAAGTGATACATTTACCTCCTCATCCCAACTGAATTATTCAAACCTATTAAATAAGTGGGTTTATTTAAAAAGGTGTATGTGGCTATAAATCACTATTCATCCAGGCCTTGGCTTATTTATAGGTAATAATACCGGGTCAAAAATAAGTGTTCAAACATAAGTGTAAGTTGAATAAGGTGGCCAGACATTATTTTTTTCAATCCTTTTTTGTTAATATGTAAAATAAAACACACCCTTTTTTAGTACAACTTCATTGCCACACGTTGTATACTCCACCTCATACACAAGGGTGATTTTTTTGAGTTCGATGGGGTCACAAAACTGCACACAAGTTTTGTGGCTAACTTTTTATTGAGACCCGCCACATGCATTATGGTATCCCTTTATACATTTTAAAGAATAATAAAGTTCAATTTCATATAGATGAATGGGATGAGAGTTGTTATAAGTATAGTATATGGGGATCGAATTTACTTCTTCAATGCTTTATTTGAATCACATAACATCGTCTATATGGAAATTAAGCTTGCAGTTTGGGTTGTTCAACCTCGACCCATTCTCGAAATATGCTGACAAACATTTTTTTATACTCAAGTTGAGCTTGAATAAAAACTCCAAACATTTATTTAAGAGTATTAAGCTTATTTCAATCTCAAAATTGAACTTGTATTTCGTACCTATTTTTATAACTTGAGTTCAAAATTTTAAGAAGAGATGGCACCCAGGTTTTAAGTTGAAACTGAGTTGATAATATTTTTTTTCTTTTTTTTGAGTTCGAGTTCTCCTCTTTAACCTGTCTAACTTGTTTGTCTCTCTTATAGGAANATTTTTTTTTTTTTTCTTTTTTTTGAGTTCGAGTTCTCCTCTTTAACCTGTCTAACTTGTTTGTCTCTCTTATAGGAAAAAAAAAGTTGAATATGGTCGGATTTGGTTTGCTGGTGTAGACATTATTGTAGAACATGGAAGAGTGGTGGCCATGCTGGTTCAGAAACATGTAGAGAAGTCACTGTCTTATTTCTATATATATATGCAGTTTGCTGGGAATGATGAAACCATTTTGTGGATTAGTAGAAAGTGATCATTCAAAGTTGCGTTTTCTTAACTCGTGAAAGGGAAAAAGGATGGGCTCTCTTTACCTCCCATGTTTTACTCCTGCACGCCTGCTGCATCTCTCTCTCTCTTCCAAATGCTCAATTTTTGTTTAAGTAATTGATTCTAAAAACCCAAATTGTTAGAATTCTCATTGCGAAACTCTTCTCCATCGACAATATGCAGGATTCAAAGCTCTCCTTTACATCCCATATTGGTAATTCTAAAAAATATTAATAATTACATTCCTTATAAAACTAACTATCAGGTAGATAATATATAATTTAAAACGCAAGAAGTCGGCATATGGATGAATAAAAAAAATTAATGTGATGTAAATATTTGTCAAGACTCAATAGATTTTAGGGAAAAACATAATACCTATTAGTAAGTTTTCCTTAACAAAAAGATATTTTATGAACATAGAATTAAACTAGAAGGGGATTTGGTTTATTTTTCAAAACTACTCATATACTCTTGTTAATTGATATTATTATTTTCTATCTTGTTGCTAAAAATAAAAAGAAATGTGACTGTGGATTAAAGAGTAATTTTGACATGCCCCAAAAATATGACATTGGGATACGAGGGCCTTGTTCTTTTAGCCCTAAATTGCCATGAAGGGCCACTTTACCGTACACATTGGCCTGACACAATTTAATGCTGTTGAGNACTCATAACCTGTTGCCACAATCACACCGACCTATTATTTGTGTATTTTTTTATTAAATGTATTTTAGATTTTTGTGTTGGTGTATTAGTGTATATTTTTGGTGTATTAGTATATATTTTTAGTGTATTAGTTTGTGTGTGTTTTGGTGTCTTAGGGTGTTTATGTTTGTATTTTGGTGTATTACTAATGTGTATGTGTGTATTCTGATGTACTAATGTGTTCATTAAGAATTAACCTTTTATAAATCCGACCTATTATAACTCATTTACTACCTGAGTGAAACATGGATTAGATTTATTTTAGCACAATCCAATTTAACCCAACTCATAACCAATCCAACTCACCCATTTGTCACCTCTATTTTTAGTCATCAATATTTGTTTTTCTTTTGAAGTATGTGTGGTTAATCCACACAATTTTGCCTCTTTGGGGAGGTTCCTTCATAGAAAAACTTTATTTGTTACTTAAATTGATATGAATTCCAATATCGATTTCTCATCTACATACAAATGTAAATTGATTGTGCATATCAGACATTAGTGTTTTAAATGTTAATCCTTGTTAAACTATGCTAGCTTTGAGAAATTTGCACACCACGAGTGATCTTTTTTTAATTAGAATATCACCCTCCCTTTTTTCATCAGAATA